TAAATATATATATATTGTGTTTTTGTTTTACGCTTTTGTTTTGAACTAATGCCACACCTCCTCCATTGTAGTGATCGATTATGTTATCAAGCGCGGCGCATGCAGCCCGTGCACATTTTCAATGGGCGGACAGTGGGTGGCGCCCGGCGGACCCCAATCGTGAAGGCCACGCGAATTGGCCAAACGATGCGTTAGCCGATGGGCAATGCTGAAGCCGCCGCTGCCCTCCAGTTGGGTGAGCACAATGATCACTTGCCTATTTGGAAGCGAAATCAAAGAATCATTAGATGTGCCTACAAAACCCTGTACTCCTCCCTTTACCTTTGCAGCGGCGGCACAGAATCCACAGTTTTGAGTTCACCACGCGTTGAGACCACATTATAGCTCTCCTGGCAGTCGCACTTGACGTGTATCCACTTATTCTCATGCCGATTCTCGACCATGACCACCAAACCAGCCCAGCCCTAGAAATGGGAAGACGGTAGTTAGTCAAATAGTCTAGACAAATCAAATCACTCTGCATACCTTGGTCAAATAGTAGGCCGTCATGCCTTCGCGTCCCTCATGCCTTTGGCCCTTGGTCAGGGTTAAGCTAATGATCGCATCCGCCAGCAAATGAGGCGAAGGCGTTATTTGCTCCACCAGCAAACGCTTGGAGCTGTGTATGGCCAATATGCATTGCGGGTACTGATGCGGATCCTCGATGCCCGTGTGCCAGTGGTTGAAGGCCAGACACACTAGCAAATAGATATCCCGCTCCAGCATCTTGTGACAGCCGACAAAGCCGCGAACCTGCAAACGAACATCAAATGGATGAGGAAGCTGGAGAGACTGAGGGCAAGGATTAAGCAGAGCTCAAGCTTTATGTTAATCTCTAGGATCTGCCTGAAACTGAGCTCAGGGCATATCCAGTACCTGTCGCTTGCTATGCTCGACCAGTCGTCCAATCTCTGGCGCTGCCGGTGAACGTGTGCGAAAGATGACAACGCAGAGATCCAATTGGGAGCGCTGTGATTTCTCCGAGTTGCGTTGACCCTCCTGGAAGAGCGTGAATTCCGCTTCGGTAGGCTCCAGCACGGTGAGCAGGACACATGAAATGGAACAGAGGGGCTGCAGAGTGCCCTGCAGACGCACCTCGTTCCAGCCGGAGCGCACTTTGCAAATGTCAATGCAATCGAAGTAGTTTAGCACATCCTCGAACGAGATCCAGAAGACGCCTTCGGAGGCGCCATGCGGCATTAGGGCATCGCGCAAATCATCCGTCCACAAGCCCGAGTCGTCGGACCAATCGCCGCGCCACGAATAATGGCCCCAGGGATTGCGTAATTTCAGCAATCGATGTCCCTGTATATCCTTAACATCCAGCACCGAGTAGGCGTGCCGTGGACGCAAACCCTTGTGCTGATATTCCTCCTCATCCACTTTCATGTTGCCGCCGCCACAACTGGCGCCCATCAGGAAGCGTACACAACGCGAGCTCAGCAGCTGAGCCCATATCAAATCCTTGTCCAGCTCATCCTCGCTGGGCATCGGCAGTGAGCTGGCCTGCAGCGGTATACTCTCGCAGGGTGCGCCCGTCAACGTGGCCAGGCCCTCGATGGCCCGTCCCGAGACGAGTGCCTCGTAGCAGCCATGAATTTTGGCCACTGCCTTCTCAATGAGCGGCACCCAGAGCTGCTTGCGCTTGGCCTGCGAGTAGACCAGGTGGCCGCGCTTGTCGCACGGCAACAGATCATCCACCAGGACCGTGGTCCATTTGCCATCCTTGCAGAGGCGCACCTGGTAGGCGCCTTGGGCGCAGATCTCTTTGGTCACCAGCACCTCCTTCACCAGATCCTCGCGCTCCGCCAGCACAGCCAGGGCGCTCAGCAGCCAGCAATTGCCCAGGACACCCTGACAGATGTCCGACGGCAATGGTGTACGGAACACGGCCCACGGCGGATATGCGCCGCCATCGCAATTGATTTCGTGTGGCCGACGCCATTGCACCACCGGGTTGCCGCCATCGGTCACACTGCTCGCCGGATTGTAGTACAAGCTCTTCGGGGCCGGCGGAAACGAATCGTCGACGAACAGCTCATTATTGTCCCGGCAATATTGTATGATATTCTGCCATTTGGTTAGTGCCTCTGTCTCCTCCAGCTGGCGCAGATTCTCCATTAGTTTGCTCTCCTGGCGTATTTCGGTGCCCAGCGCCGTGATGCGCATCGATTTGCGGGCGAGCGCTTCGCTGAGCACCGCCTGCATCAGGCCTCGCGGACTCGAGCAAATGTCACAGACAACAGATGCAGCGCAGTTCTCATAGGTGCAGGCGGGACACTGCCATTTCTTGATCGAACTGCCCGGCAGGATCAGCTGTTGCTGCTGCTGCTGCTGCAGATTGTAGGATGAGCTGGCTGTGGGAGCAGGCATGGCCATCGATATGTTCCGTGGCACTATTGAGCCGCCGGTGCTGTGACGCTTCGGTATGGCGCCCGAGGAGCTGCGCTGCTGCTGCAGCTGCTGTTGCTGTTGCAGCTGGATYGCAGCCGCTGCTGCTGCTGCGGCGGCTGCTGATGCTGCCGCTGCTCCTGCTGCCGGCCCGCCCACTGCAGCGGCTGCTCCCGCTGCCGATCTGGGCGAGGGACTGCGCGAATTGCGATGCGCCACTGGCGGCAATTGCAGCTGCGTTGGCGTCGCCGTCGGCGTATTCAGTTCACCCGCCGTCTGACTGCCAGCCGCCGGATCCTGCTCTTCATAGGACTGGCCATCGGGTCGTTCGCGTATCGAATCGACTGGCAGCAAACGCATCGATTTGCAGGCGCTGCACAGGCCGACGGAGAGCGAATTCTTCAGTGTGCAATGGCTGCAGGTCCAGAATTCACCTTTGCGCAGTGTCATGTCCTCGATCGAGGAGATGCTCTTCAGCTTGGAGCCGCCGCAGACGATGCAGGCCATTGCCGTTGAGTAGTTGACCAGGGTGCACTTCTTGCATGTCCAGGGCTCATCGTTGCGTGGCTCCACAGCAACTGCAAAGGTGTGGAGCAGGAGGAGAGACTTGTTGTCAATCAAATAAACATAGATCAATCAATCAATCATGAATCATGTAATTGATTCATCAATCAACATATATATTCATTTATTCATAAGAATCCAGACTTAAAGCAGTTCATTGGTCAATCAATCAATCAATCAGCGCAGCAGTTAGCAGTCTATCAATGTCTGTCAATCATTTTGGCCGTCAGATAACAAAGCAGATCAATCAATCAATCTATCATGCAGTTCTTCCAGTATTTAGTCATCATAATTTCATTCGTCAGTCTGTCAATCAGTCAATCAGTTGCTCAAGCCCTAACGCTCTGATTCCATCAGCCGCTCCACAATCAATCACACGTATCTGAGTTGATCAGTCATCTCAATCAATCAGTCAATCACATGGTAAGCACTTACTGGATGCTGGTAGCTCCGCCTGATGCAGCTGCAGCTGCTGGTGCTGGTGCTGCTGCTGTTGCTGCTGCTGCTGCTGTTGCTGCTGCTTGGCTAATGTCTCGCACATCTCACAGGATTCGGACCAGAGACGATTGTAGGCATAGGAACATTTGCCGCATGTCCACATCTTGCGGCTGCCTTGCAGAAGCATCGATTGCGGTTTATTGTCGTTGCGCGCCGCTTGAACAATGAGGCGATTGCTGTTGCTGCTGCTGCTGGCCGGTGTCGACGCCAAGCCAGTTGCTGCCTCATGTGTGCTAAACAAAGAGAAAGAGAGAGACAGAAACAAACAGAAAAAGAGAGAGAGAGAGTTAGTATTGGTGCAAAGAAAAAAAAACTCACGCACAATTAAATTGCAGGCAAATCAAATGAAAAACCAATGAAATAATTACAACAATTAGAGCAAAAACAAAATAGAAGCAAAGTCTTTGCTGCTGCAGCAACCGTTGATTGCCTTTTAATTCGCAAAAATGGAAAAAATAAAAWAAATAAACAATAAATTCCTTTTTTTTTTTTTGTTATCAGCGAGCCGAAGCAACGAATACGCTAACGAAATGATAATGTGAGTCACACGCAATTAGAAGTAACGAAGCTGATAAGAGCTGAGCTTTGAGCTTGACGGGGTCGCACATACAGATACCCTGTAATACACATATTAGCTTAAGTATGACCTGGTCTTAATTTACATACAAAATCTCAATTAAATTAATGATTTTTAATTACTAACGTAATTATCTTTATGTGAACTTACATTTTGTTTAAAAATTTAAAAATTATTTAATACTGAATTTAATTCTAATTAATTAATATCACAAAAGAAGTCTTTATATCAGTCTTAACTTATAACTCATTGTTATTTAACTACTTATTTAACTACTCTACTGTTGGCTAGTTCTTAATTACATTAAGTTAGTTAAGTAATTAGCCCCTATTAAACTTCATAAATGATTAATTACGATTCATTAAAATTAGTCTAGTAAATATTAACTATCTCTCAGTTAATTTTAATCTTAATAAATAACTATTCATTAATTACTATATTAATATTATTCCAAATTACTTAGCATTAATTACTTAATTAGCTAGTGCTAATAAATGGCTTAATTATTATGTATTCAATTATAGCTAATCTAATTAAATATTTGGTAAATGCACTAATTCAGCAATATTTGTCATTAGTGAATATTAATCAGCGATCTATGATTTAATTAATTTAATTAATTGTTATTTATAGGCCTACTTAGGAAATTGTTACTGAAGTAAGTACTGATTTAATTAATTTTTTATGCTAAATAAAAAACCTACAAATATCTATATAATTTAAGATTAATTGCTACTCATTAAGGGTATATCTACACTCAGATACTCTGTTAAACTCTGATTAACTTGGGCTAGCTATGCACTTGGCCTCGTTATCGTTAGGGTATGAACAGTCAAGCGTAGCGCAAACCATAAACGAAATCTAGAAATCGCACAAACTTATATAAGTATATATACATATACATATATATGCTTGTGTGAGTGTCTGTAGGTTAAATTGCGTATGACTAAGCTGTGCACAGTAATTAATAAACAGCAGAAAATTAACAATGTTAAAATAAAAGCATATTTGATATGTTCTTGCTGCGGGTATCAAATGTCAGCTAGCTGCGATTGTTGCTGTTGCTGCTCTTGTTAATTGTGTTCTTGTTGCTACTGTTGTTGTTGTTGTTGTTGTTATTGCTAAGATTATTATTGTTGCTGCATACATTTTGGATTCAGTCGTTTTGCGCGGTCCCTTCCACACCTTGGCGTATATCGAATGCTCAGATGCGTGATAATAATCTGTTGTTGTTGCAACATTTGTAGCTGCTGCTGATGCAGCTGCTGCTGCTGTTGCTGTTGTGATGGCATCAGCTTCCATATAATTGGCGTCATTGCTGCTGCTGCTGTGCTCATTAGTTGCTGCTGTTGTTGCTGCTGTTGTTTCGCTGACATCGAAGCTGCTGTTGTTGCTATGACTACTGCTGCTATTGTTGTTGCCCAGCAGCAATGCTGTTGTTGCTGCCGGCTGTGTCTCATTGCTGCTAAGCTTCTTTTTGTGCAGCTTGTGCTGTTTATTAACCTGCGCATAAATTGGTGCCATGGGCTCTGATCTAAGCTGCTGCTGTTGCTGCTGTAGTTGTTGCTGCTGCATCTGTTGCTGTTGTTGTTGCTGTGCAATGGCAACACATTCGTTCTCATATAGCTGCTGATTCAGTTTATTGCTAGCAATGCAATTGTTATTGCTACTGCTGCTGTTGCTGCTGCTGCTGCTGCTGTTATTGTTGCTATTGCTGTTGCTGCTGCTACTGTTGTTGGCATTGTTATTGTTGCTTGTTATATCACAGTGCTGCATATTGTGGCGATTGCTGTTGCTGCCACTGCTGCTGTTGCTATTGCTGCTCCGTGCTGCTGGCTCCGACCATTCGTTAACAGCTATAAAAACGCCATTGCGCGGTATAGTAAACTGAGAGCCACTGCTGCTGCTGCTGTTGCCGCTGTTAGTGATGTTGTTGCTGTTGCTGTTGCTGTTGCTGTTGCTGTTACTGATTTGCTGTGCTCTATTGTTGCTGCTGTTGTTACACTCACGCTGTTTAAGCTGCGACTGGCGCATTGGCTTGACGGCGCCAGCAGCGGCAGTTGCCACAGCTGTAGCTGATGCTGCTCCTCCTGTTGCAGCTGCTGTTGTTGTTATTGCAGTGGATCCCTTGGCTGATCTTGACAGCGTTGTAATGGTAAAATTATACTTCTTCTTGGCGCAGCCGTCGCGAACTCTATTATTTAGATTCTTATTGTTGTTGTTCTGCTTGCGACGACAGAATGTATCATTGGCAATGGCAAACCGCGAATTGCTGCATGCAACGGGCGGCGGCGGCAAGCGCTGTATGGCATCCGMAACAGCTGGAAGAAAAGAGGATAGTGAATGAGAAGATCTGGATTTGGGTGTGTCTGGGCCAGAACTTACTGGTCTTGTGTGACAGCAACTGTTGCTGCTGCTGCTGCTGCAGAGGTTGGTGTTGTTGCTGATAGCTGATTGATGCTACGTAGGGCAAATTGAAAATGTCTTTACCCAAATTGCTGACGTAGCAAATGTGACAGCTGCGTGCCGAGGCGGCCGCAAAGGATGAGGATGAAGAGGCGATTGCTGCCTGGGTCAGGGCTGGGCTCTTATCTATGGAATTGCTCAGACTTTGGGTGCGTCGAAAGTAGGCGAAACGGCGAGATCTCAAATGACGCCGATTGGAATGTTGCTCCTCCGACTGTGCATCCAGCTGCGAATGATGTGGAAGTGACTCCTCTGCTGTCTGTTGCTCAGCGCCGACTGTGCCGCCGCTGCTGCTGCTGTTGGCGCCGAGGCCACTGTTGCTGCTGCTGCTGCTACTTAGTTCCAGCTGTGACTGTGTGCCAGCTGTGACTGCTGTGGATGCTGCTGCTGTTGTTGCTGCTCCAGTTGCTGCTGTTGACTCATGCCTTCGCGTGCATAACGTCTCCTTATAGATGGGCGCCAGATAACTAACGGTATCGCAGATAACACAATGCCATGTCACTGAATTGTTGTCCGTATCGCAGGCGTGACAAATCCAGCGCCGATTCAATGCCGGATTCGAAAAATGTCGATACAACTCGATAGAGTTCTTAATATATTTGCGCGTCTCCTCGCAGTCAATGCAATTGGCTGGCAAATTCTGGCTATTGCGCTGCGGACGCTTCAAACAGCCGCGCAGCAGCGATTTGTAAACGTGTCCGGACTGTTGTTGCTTTTGGTTGTTGTGCTCAGTTCTGCAATAAGAGAGCAAATTGGGAGCGAACAAAAAGGCAAATCCAAAAACAAAACATATGCAAGGGCAAATGGGCAAACAGTTAAAATTTGGTTAACTGTCAAAGCTGCAAATGCAAAATTGGAATTGCAAAAAGTTGATTTCAATGTGGCCAGATCACTCAATTTTGTTAAGCGTTCTTCTGCTGCTTCTTCTTCTGCTATTTTTGCACTAATGTTGCAATTACTTTTTTTAATTTATATATTTTTTAAATCAATTGTCTGACTTTTGTTGTGCCTTTTCACTTGTGACGCGCAGCCAAAGCTCGGAATCAATAAAATTGTAAACAAACTTGCGTTTCTTTCCCATCGATTTTCCCCAAAAAACAAAAAAAAAACTATAAAAAAGAAAGACAGTTTTTACAGCTTATTTGTTGTTGCTGCAGTTACTTYAATTGTTGTTGTTGTTATTGTGTATACTCTGTGTACAATACACAAACAGACACGCACGGACATGCACACAAACCCACAGTTATCCACAGAGGGGAAGACAGAGAGAACAAGAAAAGGACAAACACGCACGCACTCGCACATCCACACACACATGCAGTTTCAGTTTTGTTTGGTGTAACGGTAAACGATGGCTGGAGCTTTTGTGTGCACCCGCACACATGCACGCACGCACAAGTGTATGCRTATGTCTGTATATGGCTGTACGTATGTATGTGTGCTTACCTGGTCACAGCTTTGTGCTTATCAACAATTGTCGCGACCTCCTCCTCATCACACTCGGCGGCCAGCTCTGCAGAGCCTGCAACCAGGTTTTCGTGATGTCGTTGCTGACGATGTTGATATTGCTGCTGCTGCTGTTGTTGTTGCTGTTGCTGCTGCTGCTGCTGCTGATGTATCCAACTGCTTTGGTGTCGCGATGGCTGAGAACGCGATTGTGTCGTTTGCTGATAGATTGTTGCGGTAGGGCTGGGAAATACCTTACGCACAGTGCCACAATTGAAACACTTTAATGATTCGGTCGGATTGATGGTATTGCATTTGGCGCACGACCATTGCAGTACGGATGATATAGTGCCCATATTGCAGCGGCAACTTGTATTAATACAACAATTGAAATTTCACATTCGACAAATTCGCACAACAGTTCACGACAATGCTGTATGTGATGAGTGAGATAAAGATAGACAGAAAGACAGAGCAAGAGAGAAGGACAGAAAGAGAGAGTGGGAAAGAGAGAGAAAGAGAGAGAGAGAGGGAGCAGGGGGCCGGGGCCAGTTGCTGATTGGTGGAAGGAAGTTCTAAAAAAATTCACAGCCAGCCGTTGTTAATTGCATTTAACACATCTCACGCCGCGCGCGCCCGATTTAATATTTTGAACTGTTGCACCACAACACATATTTAGTATATATATTGTGGGCCAACCTTATTGTAGATACAGATCCTTGAGCAACAATATTGCTTGTAGCACCAGCCATCCATCCAGCCAGCCCACCAAACCTACTGATGAACGATAGATTAGTGATTGTTGAGATGACTCCTCGTGAGCATCGTGTCACACGAATATCGTGTAACATTGATAAGGATATGTGGCAGAATCTTCTATATGATGTAAGCTTATAAAATATCTGTACGTTACTGAAATATAAGGTAAAGGCGACATATCAGGTTGAATAAGAATTTCATGTTTTCATGCAAATTCCAATGGTATGCTGCGGCAGCTGTCTGTTTGAATATTGACCATCTCTAATCTCGTGTGTAACCAAAAATCGGTTTACGGCTATCGAATATATTTATTCATAGACATGTTGATATGTCGAAAAGAATGTTGCAGACATAAATATTATCGATAAGGTTTGCCAACAATATATACCCAATTAAAAGCGAACATAAAAGCTATTCCTCAAAATCTTGAATGAATCTCGTACTAAAAATATTTGATTTATAAATAAAATTTCATTGCTTAGCTACAAATAATTATTTTACAAATGTTTCAGAATAATTGTTATTTCAAAATAAAGTGAACACAAAAGTATCGCAACGTACACGCTATCGATAGCATATCGATGTACTTACCCGCGTGCAAAAGTCATCGTAGTGTGATCTAAACGTGTTTTGCTTTTAACAATTACAAATAAAGTACGCGGTATGCAAAAACAAAAGCCTCGAGGTCCTGGAAAGCCAGGATCGCGTGCGCCATCCAAGCCGGGCGACAGCCAAAGACCCAACAACAAGCAACACAATCAGAAACGCGCTAAGGAGCTGTCTCGCTCTAAGTTGGCCGCAACCGAAACTGAAATCCAAGAGCTGCGAGCCAAATATAATGAAATCGACCCAGAGACGATTAAAACATTCGCCCAGTTTCCCCTGTCACAGAAAACACAAAAAGCTTTATCCGAGGCCAAGTACACAACGCCCACTGAGGTGCAACGTCTAAGTATAGGACACGCGCTCCAAGGCAAAGATGTACTTGGAGCTGCTATCACGGGCAGCGGCAAAACTTTGGCCTTTCTTATACCCGTAAGTGAAGATTGACCAAGAAGACTACAGATTATTATCATATGTACTCCATAATATAACAAAACTATTCTTGTAGGTTCTGGAACATTTGTATATGAATAAATGGTCCCGTACGGATGGAGTTGGAGCTATTATCATCTCACCAACTCGTGAGCTAGCTTATCAAATTTTCGAAACACTAAAGAAAATCGGCAAGTATCATGATTTCTCTGCGGGTCTCATTATTGGCGGCAAGAATCTAAAATTTGAACGCACGCGCATGGATCAATGCAATATATTGATATGCACACCAGGCCGATTACTCCAACACATGGACGAAAATCCCCTGTTTAATGCAACAACAATGGAAGTGTTGGTACTGGATGAGGCTGATCGCTGCCTGGACATGGGCTTCCAGAAAACGCTCAATTCCATAATCGAAAACTTTCCGCCAGATCGTCAAACTTTACTGTTTTCGGCAACGCAAACCAATACAGTGGAAGATCTGGCAAGACTCAACCTAAAAGATCCAGTATACGTGGGCTATGGTACAGCCAAGTCCGTAGACACAAAACCATCTGGATCTACAGCAGTGCTAGCCTTGCCGGAACTGCTGCAGCAGAGCTATGTGGTTCTACCGCTGGAGGAGAAGATAACTATGCTCTGGTCATTCATTAAGAATCATCTAAAGCAGAAGATCATTGTCTTTGTTGCCAGCTGCAAGCAGGCAAAGTATTTGTATGAGATATTTTGTAAATTGCGTCCAGGCGTTGGTTTGCTAGCTCTTTATGGGACCTTGCATCAGGATCGTCGCATTGCCATCTATGAGGATTTCCTGCGCAAGAGCCATGTGGTCATGTTTGCCACAGATGTGGCTTCGCGTGGCCTTGACTTCCCCTCTGTCAACTGGGTGCTGCAATTGGATTGTCCAGAAGATGTCCCGCAATATATCCATCGAGCGGGTCGCTCGGCACGCAACAAAAGCCGAGGCGAATGCCTTTTGGTGTTGACGCCCAGCGAAGAAGAGTACATGATTGCTGCTCTAAAGGAACGGCTCAATCTCGACATACGCGCTGTCCACATTGATCCCAAGAAACTATTTTCGCCACGCGTCAAAATCGAAGCGTTTCTCGCACAATTTCCCGAATTGCGGGCCTCAGCCCAACGTGCCTTCCTCTCGTATCTAAAGTCTGTGTTCCTTATGCGCAATAAGCGACTGTTTAATGTGCTTAGCCTTGACCTGGATGCCTATGCCCAGTCCCTGGGTTTGGCTGTCACGCCTCGAGTGCCCTTCATCGAGAAGCTGAAGTGGCGACAGAAGCAACAGAACCAGCCGGAGCAGCAAACAAATAAAACAACAGGCTTTGGTCACGACAACGATGATGAGGATGGGTCAGGGGAGGATGAGGATGACTTCATAAAGATCAAGCGGCGCGATCATGATGTGGAAGGCGATGCCACTGAATTAGAGCAGCAAGTGGGCGAGGAGTCAGAGGAGCCGCTTGTAGTGCCCAAGCGTGAGAAGCTTGTGACCAAAGCGGCGCTGGCTAAGAAGGCGATCAAAAAGAATCTACAGATCAATTCAAAGGTGAAATTCGATGAGGATGGCGAAACGCTTGCCGATGAGCGCAATCAAATGAAGGCGCTGACAGCCAGGCAACAGAAGCAACAACAACAGCAAAAGGATGACGATGGCGGTATCAATCTGATGCTCTCCAAGGCGCTGCTCAACGAGGAGGATCAATACGATAAGCAGCGTTTCCGTGAGCTCGTAAAGAAACGTCATAAGCTGCAGCGCGAAAAACTGCGCAAGAAGGCAGAGCAGCAGCAGAGCGACGACGATGAGGAGCAGGACGAAGATGAAGCACAACAGTTGGATATGGATAGCGAGAGTGAGCAGTCGGTGGACTTGTCCTGGCTGCCAGATCCTGATAAGATATATAAAAAGAGAAACGAGAAGGATGAGAATGAGGAGGAGGAGAAGGAGGATGCACACCAGAATGATGAAGAAGATGAAGATGAAGATGACGATGATGATGATGATGATGATGATGATGAGCCTGTCTTTAAGAAGTCTAGAATAACTGATAAGCTAACGCTTATGGATACAGAAGCCATAGCAGCCAATTTGCTGGCCAGCTAAGGCAGATGTCAGGAGCAAGCAAATGATGAAGAACAGCAGCTGGAGCATTCTTATAGGAAAGAGAAGGAGAGCATTACGTTACCAAATCCAATTCCAATCCCATCTGTGCTCGCCAGCTGCTAGTAGCTTCATTGTGTAGCCCAATCCTTAGCGTAATAATACTTATTTTAATACGAAAATAAAGAAACAACAAAATGTAAATGCTTCACAAGTATTTGGAAAATGCCCACAAATTTATTTATTCATGTTTCTTTTTTTTTTCTCTCTTTTGCACTCCATATCCTGACATATATAGCTGCATA